AGGTCAAGGCTGCGGTGGCTGGGAGCGGCCACTGCACTCCAGTTTGGGCGACAGAGTGAGACTCCAACTCAAAAAAAAAAAAATCTTAATCAAGAATACTAGTAAAGAAAACACCATAGTATTAATGGTGATAATCTCTCTAGTGTTATAAGTAATAATAGTAATTGTTGCTATTATTATTATTAGAGTTGGGGGGTCTCACTCTGTCACAGGCTGGAGTGAGGTGGCATGGTCATGGCTCACAGCAGCCTTAACTTCCTGGGCTCTGGTGATCAACCCACCTCAGCTTCCTGAGTAGCTGGGACTATAGGTGTGTGCCACCATGCCTGGCTACAATTTTTATGTTTTATTTTTTGTAGAGATGAGGTCTCGGTATGTTGCTCATGCTGGTCTCAAACTTCTGGGTTCAAGCAATCCTCCCACCTCAGTCTCCCAAAGTGCTAGGATTACAGGTATGAGCCACTGTGCCCAGCCAATTATTATTTTTATTTGCACTTTTTCTGCAGATTTCCTACAAATAGCATATATTTCTTTAATTCTTTTTTTCTTTAATTTTTTAAATTGGTGTCTCATTCTGTCGCCCAGGCTGGAGTGCAGTGGCATGCTCACAGTCACTGCAGTCTTGACCAGTTGGGCTCAGGCAATCCTTCTGCCTCAGTCTTCCTAGTAGCTGGAACTATAGACACATACCACCATGCCCGGATAATTTTTTTAAAATTTATTTGTTGTAGAGATGAGGTCTCACTAAGTTGCCTCACTAAGTTACATTAATGTAATGTATATAAAGACTTTTTAATGATATAGTCAGATAGTAAGCAAAAATGTATATGATTGTAAATTAAGATCTTAATCAAGAATACTAGTAAAGAAAACACTATAGTATTAATGGTGATAATCTCTCTAGTGTTAACTATAAGTAATAATAATAATTGTTGCTATTATTATTATTAGAGTTGGGGGGGCCTCACTCTCTGTCACAGGCTGGAGTGAGGTGGCATCGTCATGGCTGACCTGGACTCAGGCTGGTCTCGAACCCGTGGGCTAGGATAATTCTCTCACCTAAGCCTCCCAAAGTGCTGGAATTAAAGCGTGAGCCACCGTGCCCGACCCTCTTTAATTCTTAAAAATTCTTTTGAGAACATAAAAAAATTAATGAATGAATCAACAAATGCCCACCCATGTGCCATCCAAATAAATGCTGGTCTTTTTTCCTGTTACTGTTTTAGATAGAAAAAAATTGCATAGTTTTTTTGTTGTTATTTTTTGTTTTGTTTTTGTTTGTTTTAGAGATGAAGTCTTGCTTTGTTGCCTAGGTTAGTCTTGAACTCCTGGGCTCAAGTGATCTTCCCACATCAGCTTCTCAAAGTGCTGGGATTTCAGGTGGGAGACACCATGACAGGCCTAGTTTTGTTTTGTAAAAAAGACCTGAATTTTTTTTTTTCTCATTTTAACTCTTTGGTGTCCTGGAGATTTGACAAAGTTAATAACTGAGATTATATTTTTCTCTCTCCCTGTCCATCGATGCTCAGGAAAGTTAACAGAGTGACTGCCGCTAAACTTCAGTGTCCTCCTCAGTTTTAGAATAAGAAGAGAGTGGGTTAAACTTAAGGAAAAGTAAAGAAGAGGCTTAAGAGGGTTTATAAAAGCCCAACCAAGTGTGTGGAAGACGTAGACAAAATTCCATTTTCTCCATCCGTGGTGGTGAGGAAAAGGTCTCCCGTCAGGGAACACATGGTGATGACTCTGGTGGCTGTCATTTTCCCAGTCATCATCCTCGGACCATGCTGTCCAGTTGTAAACATACGGTTCAGCAGATAAGCCAGTCTCTAAACAGAGAAAGAAAAAAGCCACAATCATGATTGTGAGCTGGACTCAGAAAGCCCTACATGTATCACGGAATTAAGCACTTTCATTTTCTTCCATAATCAGTTTAAAAGTAGTCAGACAACTAGAAAATTCATATGCAGAATTTACCCAATGGTAGCTGTATTTTGGACTTGTGCGCTTTCCTGCCTGTATGTTCTATTTCAATAAAAGCTTTATCTAAAGCAATTATTCCAGAAAGTTCAATCTAGAGATATCATTCAGTGTATGTATCACTGCAGCCTCTTCCTATTGGGATCATAACTCAAACTGCAGAATGCTTTATCTTTTTATTTTGATACACTCTATCTGTAGCTTTTTTTCCTTATTCATTTGATATCATGACTCTATTTATAACTACTTCAGCATACACTATTCACAATAGCAAAAACATGGAACCAACTGTGCTGCCCATCGAAACTGGACTGGATAAAAAAATGTGGTACATATACACAATGGAATATTATGCAGCCATAAAGAAGGACAAACACATGGACTTTGTAGCAACTTGGATGGTTTTAGAGTCTATCATACTTAGTGATCTGTCACAGAAACAAAGAACAGAGTACCACGTGTTCTTACTCATCAGTGTACCTTGAACAATTATAATACTATAAGAAAGGGATTGGCAGTGGTGGGAAACTGCCAGGGGAGGGAGGGGCACACCTCATCAACAAGGGTACCTGCATAAGGAACATTTGTATACTTAACCCTGAATTGTACCCCACATCTTTAAAATACATTAAAAAAAAAAAAAAAGACTTCAGCACACACTTCCTAAAAATAAAAGCATTCTCCTATGTAACCGCAACACCAGGATCACCCTCCACAGTCTCACCAAGGTTTGCACACTATATTTGGGTGTACTACACCTGACTATTTGCCTCTTCAAATGATTCAGAAAAAATGAATGTCTCTCTCTGTCAATATAGATAGATAGATAGAGAGAGAGAGGTAGATTCCACAGACCCACAGATATAGATAGATATAGGTATTCAGAGAGAAGCAAATATGACAAGATGTTCAAATGATGGAATCTAGGTAAAGAATTGGGTGCCCAATGTACCCTGCTTTTGCATTTTCTGTGTGCCCTGTCTCAACACAGCTTGGTGATTCTTCTCTGCAGCATCAGCTCTGGCCCGGGCATCTGCCCTGCCAGCCAGTTCTGCATAAACTTCAGGCTGCCAGAGGCCCCTGCTCCCTCCCCTCGAGGTGCCTGAGCTAGTTCCTTAATTTTTTCTTTTTTCGAGTCAATGTCTCACTCTATCTCCCAGGCTAAAGTGCAGTGGTGTAATCACAGCTCACTGCAGCTGCAACCTCTTGGGCCCAGGTGATTCTCCCATCTCAGCCTCCTGAACACAGGTGTGTGCTACCACACCTGGCTAATTTTTTTTTTTGAAGAGATGAGGTCTTGCTATGTTGCCGTAGTTGGTCTCGAACTCCTGGGCTCAAGTGATCTTCCCATCTCGGCCTCCCAAAATGTTGGCATTATAGAAGTGAGACACCACTCCCAGCCCTAGCTCCATCATTTTACATTTCAAAAATCAGACCGCCATACCCTGGAGAGAAATGGGCGGCATCCTGGGCGTCTCTGCTCACGCCTGAACAGGAAGGGGCAGAGCTGGCTGGGGTGAGTGGGAATCCTGGCTGTTTCCCTTAAAGGGAATTATTTTGGGGCCCTTCTAAACTGGTAGACTAAGGTGTATGTACGGCGCATGTGGACCTGCCTGTGACCTAGAGTGCTTCCACTCTGCCCTAGGGACGATGCCATATTCTCAATATATTCATAACTCTGAATAGCTTATGAGTCTTTTTCATACCCTGTAATGGGACTTAGTATTTACCCACACTTTGGACCTTAGTGCTCTATGACAGAAAATGACCAGCAAAGAGAGAAAGGAAACTCCAGATTCCCAGCAAGTATGAAATACTCCCCCCATTGCCTCGACATTCCACTAGGAGCCAGTCTAGAAACTGCTTCAGTTAACTTGCTTACCAGGATTTGGTGTTTGACCTTCTTTCCCCATCCCTGTTAACTATTTCTTTCTTTCTTTCTTTTTTTTTTTTTTGAGTCGAGGTTTCACTCTGCAGTTTAGACACCACGGCCTCGGCTTGCTGGGCTCAGGTGATCCTTCTGACCCAGCCTTCCAAGTAGCTGTAACCACAGACACGTGCCACCATGCCCGGTTAATTTTTCTTGATTTATTGTAGAGATGAGGTCTCGCCATGTTGCCCAGGGTGGTCTTGGACCCGTGGGCTCAGGCAATCCTCTCACCTCAGCCTCCCAAAGTGCTGGGATTACCGGGTTGAGAGCTTATCTCTTTAAGAGCAAAGCAAAACCCAAATATACACATTTTAGCACTTGTGCTAGCCACACAGCATTTGCTTAAGAAATACTTGTCAGCAGAAATTAAACTGCTTGCAAACATCTGTCAGATTGGCTATTGTTTGAGTAGCCAAGAGTTCCAAGCCATACAACTAAAATCTGAGAATCAACAGGTATTTTCTGTCCAATCAACTGAACACTAAGAAGAAGCTGAGTGAGACAACGTGACTTTTTGAAGAGGGTTTCGAGCAGCAGAGAGCCACCAGTGTGCTGAAGCGGGTTTGGCTGATGTTGACTTTGATAAAGAGGCTGGGTAGAACCACACACTCATTCTCCCTGTCATCCAGCTTAAGGAGGAGGGTGACAAGCATTGTGTACTTATAGGAGCACCTGTGACCATGAAGGTTTATGAGATGGGTCTCTAGTAGGTGTTCTTACCATTTCTGCAGTTCTTCTCATAGACTATGTTGCCACTGGCATCTTCCTTTTGGCATCTGGGGAATACCAGGTTCACCACAAACGTTATATTTGAGCCCACCAGTGCTGGCGAGTCACTGGTCAAGACCGCCTGCACACGGCCTCCTAGGGCATAAAAAAGTGGCACTCAATGATCCAGTATCTATTTTTCCTTTCACTCATAAATAAACACTTAAAGTTACTAATAAAGACCAGAGATCCAATATACCTTTACATTTATTTTTTGTATTCCTAACTTTAGCCTTCAGAGCATAACACTCTAGAAGATAAGTTAAAAAGCAATCAGACCAGTTAAAAGAATTCTCTAACTGCAGAAAGAAAATTTACATAAGATCATAAAAAATCTGCTCCATTAGATTGAGAAGACAAGTTTTAAAAGTTTGTGTTTTTAAATTTTAAAACCAATAGCTAAAGGACCCATGCTTTGATCTGAAAGGAAAGATATTCACATGATAAACCACACCTTTAAGATGATGAAAAAACAGCTTTGGGGTCACAGGTCTTCTGAAGATGACCATTCCCGTGTTGGTTAAATAGGTTTAAGGCTAAACCTGCTTGCTCCTCAAAATATTCCAAGAGCTACCAACTTGGACATTTCTAATGAGATTAAAAATTATTTTGTGGCTTAGAGAGTGATAATGATGGAATAAGATTGCCAAATCCGGGTGCCACCCACTTGATAACTAGTGCTCTGTCATTCTCAGAAACACAAGCCATGCGATCTAAGAGGCTCTACAGTCTACAAGACCTACTAAAACAGGAAATGGCAGTTGCCTGGGTGGAATCTTCTGACTTACCTTTCCAGGAGTTCTTCCACCTCTCGTCCCCCCTCTTCCACACTGGATAGAGTTTTTCATTCCAGTCATTTTCATCAGAAGACCAGCCGTGTAACTGGTGGTGCTCTCTCATATAAGCCGGAGGCCTTTCATAGCCCAACACATCATGAAATCCTATATCAATATTTGAAAAACAAATTACATTCTTCATTTAGTAGTCATCCAACAGTGATTAAAGAAACTTTTCATTTTCATACTGTCGGAAAGCACATACATAATATATTCAATATGTCAGGTAAAGAGAGGGTATTTTTATAAAAGGTAACCTACTGGAAATACCTTGAATGCAAGCATTCATATCTCATCTCTGTATGTACTTTCAGTGAATCAAAGAAAAAGTCAATATTTCTATTGATTGATTTATTTATGAGTTGGAGTCTCACTCCGTCGTCCAGCCTCCCAAGGCGCAGGATTACAGGCTATTTAAAAAGCCAATTTTGGAAGCCAATATTTTTCATCCATCGCTTGGTTTCTATCCTCTGAATATCTGGATTTGATACAAACTGATGCCAATGATCTTCAACCCGTTTTTGCATCTTTTCCCATGCTGAATGACTCACTTGCTGAAGGAATGCCAGACTCAGGAACGCCTCCAAGATTCCAAGAGATGTGCTGGTTACTGGAGACAATTTTTAAAAATGACCCAGAAAAATGGTCTGCCTTGGGGAATGTTCCATATGCGCTTATGGGGTCCACATTTGTTGGGTAGAGTGTTTTCTTTTTCTTTTTTTTGAGTTGGAGTTTCACTCGGTTGCCCAGACCGGAGTGCAGTGGCCGCTCCCGGCCACCGCAGCCTCGACCTGCTGGGCTCCGGCGATCCTTCCGCCTCAGCCTTCCAAGTAGCTGGAACTATAGGCGCGCGCTACCACGCCGGGCTAATTTCTGATTTATTGTGGAGATGAGGCCTCGCCAAGTTGCCCAGGCGGGTCTCGAACCTGCAGGCTCAGGCAATCCACTCACCTTGGCCTCCCAAAGCGCGGGATTATAGGCTGATCCACCGAGCCCGACCTGAGTGTTTTCTTTTTTAAGATAGTTGATAAGGTTTTTTTTTCAGTGGGTTGAACTTGTGGCAAGATGTGATGGAGTGTCTCCCTGTTGTTGTTTTAATTTTCATGTTCCTATTGATTTTCTGTTATTTCCATTACTGAGAGGGACATCTTGAAATTTTCAAATATAATTGTGGATTTGCCAATTTGCCCATTTGTTCTTCTAGTTCTGTCAGGTTTTGCTTTGTGTATTTTGAAGTTCCATTGTTAGGTGTATACTATACATTTAAAATTTGAAGAATTGACTTTTTTCTCATTTAGAATTGGCCCTGTTTATCTCTGATAATATTTCTTGTTCTGAAGAATACTTGATATTAATGTTTAGTGTTTAACTGCATATTTTTTTCCATACTTTTACTTTAAAAAAGAATGTTTAGATTGATTTATATTCCTTCTCATCTTTTTACTTTAACCTTAAGTGCATTTTTAAATTTTTATACTTAATTTTTGAGTTGGAGTCTCACACTATTGACCAGGTTAATGTAGTGTCACCATCATGGCTCCCCTTGGCCTTGATTGCCTGGGCTCAGGCGTTCAATCCTTCTACTTCAGCCTCCCAAGTAGCTGGAACTACAAGTGCATGCCACCACATCCAGCTAATTTTTTGATTTTTTGTAGAGATGAGGTCTTACTATCTTGCCTGGGCTGGTCTCGAACTCCTGGGCTCAAGCGATCCTCCCACCTTGGCTTCCCAAAGTGCTGGGATTACAGGCATGAGGTACTGCACTTGGCCCTATGTGCATTTTTATATTTGGGCTAGGTTTCTTCCAGGCAGCCTATAGTTGGTTGTGCTTTTTTTCATCTAGTATGACAATCTCTACCTATTATTTGAAATGTTTAAATGTACATTGAATATAATTATCAATATTATGAAATGTAAGTGTACCATTTTGTTATTCGTTTCCTATCTATTCCATCTATTCTTTTTTCCTTTTTTCTTCTTTCCTGTTCTTTTTGGATTGTATTTGGATTTTATTTTATCACCACTACTGACTTGTTAGCTATACCTCTTTGATTCTGTTTTGAGTGGTTGTTCTTGGGTTTTGGGGTTTTTTTTTTTTTTTTGAGTTGGAGTCTCACTCTGTTGCCCAGACTGGAGTGCAGTGGCCGCTCCCGGCCACCACAGCCTCGACCTGCTGGGCTCCAGCGATCCTTCCGCCTCAGCCTTCCAAGTAGCTGGAACTACAGGTGTGCACTACCATGCCCGGTTAATTTTTGATTTATGTAGAGATGAGGTCTCGCCAAGTTGCCCAGGCGGGTCTCAAACCTGCGGGCTCAGGCAATCCACTCACCTCAGCCTCCCAAAGGCGCAGGATTACAGGCTGAGCCACAGAGCCCGGCTCACTCTTGGGTTTTTAACATAATTGCTCTTTTAAAATTCTTTCTAATCTTGAGTTGGTGTCTGCCTTTTTGTCTCGCCTGACAACTCTGGTGGTCACACAGTCTCTTTCTTTGAGAAAAAAAAAAAGAAAACCAGAAAACTCTGACAAAAGATAACAAGGAACTAAATAAAGAGAGATAGATTCCATGTTCTTGGAAAGAAAAATGCAATATTGTCAGAGTGTCAAATCTATCTAACCACCCAAAGTAGCCAACACGATATTGAAGAGCAGAGTTGGAGAACTGATACTATCTGACTTCGAGACTTTTGTCTCGCCTGACAACTCTGGTGGTCACACAGTCTCTCTTTCTTTGAGAAGTATAGCAGACTGGTTGGGTGCCTACCCGGCAGCCGTTTCCTGCCTGCACTCCCTCTTTTTTCACCTCCTTACTGGCAGAGCCTCGACTTCAACAGTTCAAAATTCCAGAGGCTTCCTCTCCTAACTCTCTCTTACAACTTGGGCAGGAACAGATAATTCAATCCTGGCCAGTGAAAGCTGATAGGAAATCTGTTGGAAGCTTCTGAGAAAGCTATAAAAAGAGATGTGGGCTAGGTGAGGTGGCTTACGCCTGTAATCCCAGCACTTTGGGAGGCCAAAATGGGAGGATTGCTTGAACCCAAGGGTTTGAGACCAGCCTGGGCAACACAATAAGACCTCGTCTCTACAAAACAATTAAAAAATTAGTTGGACATGGCAGCACATGCTGTCATCCCAACTACTTAAGAAGCTGAGGCAGAATTACTTGAGCCCAGGAGTTCAAATTTATAGTGAGCTATGATTGTGCCACTGCACTCCAGCCTGGCAACAGAGTGAGACACTCTCTCGAAAAGAAAAGAAAAGAAAAGAGAAGAGAAAAGAGAAGAGAATGGAGAGACGTGAGAACAAAGTCCATTTTTCCCTCCTCAGAACTGAATTTGGAGACAGTGTAATGGCGTTAATGCCTGGAGCTGTGACAGCCATCTTTAACTGTAAATCCACAAACCTGAAGAAACAACCAACACATCAAGGTGTTAGAGTGGAAAGATGAAAAGAAATAGAGTCCTTGATGACATTGCTGAGCTGGTGCTCTAGTCCTGCACACCTCTGGACAGATCGCATGAGATAGTAAGTGTCTGACACAACCTGTTCTGTTACTCACAGCCAAAAGCTCAACTGTCTGTAGTCCTCAGCCAACTCCTAATCATATGCTACTAAATTGTTCTCACATTAATTTATATGGTCTTGTGACTTGGCCTGGTCATAGACTCTTAGAGGCCAGAAACTCTGTCTACTAATTCTCTTAAATCCTGGAAGAGGCCTCCAAGTTGTGGTATTGAGTGGGTGCTCAGAGAAGCCATATTGAACGTGCATTACTAACCTCTTCTCTGGAGGGTGAGAGAGCAGGTTATCAGGGAGGAAGATGCGATGGGAAAGGACATTGAACTAAAGTAGGAGTCAGAACCTGGTTTCTAGCCTTGGTTCTGCTACCGAACAGGCTGTGTGACCTCAGCATTCATCTCTTCTCTGGGCCTTCCAATGGGATGAAAACCAAATGTCCTGTGATTCTATGAGCTTGTTCTTTTTTTTTTTTGAAAGTGGGATTTACTGAGAGGACAGAAAAGCTCCCACAGTGGGAGGGGATCCAAAGGGGTTGCCCCGAGCTTGTTCTTATTTGAAAGCAGATACTAAGTGAGCGCCAAAAATTTGTGTTTATCAAGAAATGTTTATAACTGGAAATTCACTTGAATTGACTCATATGGAAAGAACTAGATTATTTAGTTCAAACCCCTTTGCTTTATAAATGAAGACATTTAGGCCTAAAGAAATAACCCTGATTCATCTAGGATAATCTTTAATTTAGTGAAAATGAAGACATATTTTTTTTTATTCCCAGGACTCTTTTTTTCCACTGTTCCAGGGAGTCTTTATTTTCCTCAGATTCTGAGAGAAAGTTATCATTTCTGGAAATATAATCAAAGCACAGATTTCTCCTCTGAATTTAAATGTCAGATGTCAAGGAAAAATACAAATTTAAAAGGAGAATTACAAAGGATAGACACACAGGTCAATGGAAGAGAATAGAAAACCCAGAAATAGATCCACACAAGTATGCCCTACTGATGTTCTTTGTTTTAAGAAACGGAGGTCTCTTTATGTTGCCCTGGCTGGACTTGAACTCCTGGGCTCAAGTGATACTACTCCCTCAACCTCAATCTCCCAAGTAGCTGGGACTAAAGGCACACAAACCCGCGCAGCTTGATTTTTTACAAAGGTGCAAACACAATCCAATGGAGGAAAGATAGCCTTTCCATCAAATAGTGTTGTAAAAAAGTAAAAAGCAGGTCAGGCATGATGGTTCACACTCATAATCTCAGCACTTTGGGAAGCCAAGGCAGGAGGATTGTTTGAGCCCAGAAGTTCAAGACCAACCTGAACAGCATAGCAAGACCTCGTTTCTACAAAATATCAAAAATGAACTGGGTGTGGTGGTACCCACACCTATAGTCCCAGCTACTTAGGAGGCTGAGATAGAAGGATTGCCACAGTCCAGGAGGTCAAGGCTGAGATGGAAGGATCGCCTGAGCCCAGGAGGTTGAGGTTGTGGTGAGCCATGATTGTGCAGCCGTGTGACAGAGCGAGACCCTGACTCAGTAAAAAAAAAAAAGTAAAAAGCATTGGTGAACTCTTGAGGATCTAAGGACTGGGCAAGAATTCCTAGACTTGACATCAAGAGTATGATGTAAAAGAAAAATTGGTAAATTGCAATTCATGAAAATTAAAAACTTTTGCTCTGTGAAACATGACGTGAAGAGGATCAAAAGGCAAGCTACAGACTGAGAGAAATTACTTGCAAAACACACTTTCAACAAAGGACTAGGGTTGAGAATCTATGAGGAATTTTAAGACTCAACATTAAAAAAAACCCAAATAGTTCAATTAGAAAAATAGGCAAAAGACACGAACAGATATTGCATCAAAGAGAATGCACAGATGCTCAACAAACACATGAGTAGATGTTCAATATCATTAGTCAGTAGAAAATGCTCCCTAAAACCACAGTGAGATATCACTGTCTACCTGTCAGTAAGACTAAAATAAACAATAATAACAACACCAAATGCAGGCAAGGATGTGGAGAAATTGGATCACACAGACCGTGCTGGTGGGAATGTAACATGGCACAGCCATTTCCGCAGTTTTTGTACAACTAGACATGCAACTACCATATCATCAAGAAATTATACTCATTGACCTCCTGGAGAAATGTAACTTATGTTCACACAGAAATCTTCACACGAATATTGATAGCAGCTTTATTCATAATAGCCCACACTCAAAGAACTCAGATAACCTCCCATGGTGAACGGTTCAACTGTGGCACACTCGTATCCTGGGGTGCTACTCTGTGATAAAAAGGAACAAACGACTGATGCAGTAACTTAATCTCCCAGAAATTATGTAGAGTTTAAAAAATAAAGCCAATCCAAAAGGTTCCATGCTGTATAATTTCATTTGTATAGTATTCTGGAAGTGACAAAGTTATAAATATGAAGAACCAATCAGTGGTTGCCAGGGGCTGGGGAGGGGTGGGCGAGGGAAGTGGCTGTGGACCTATAAAAGGGCATGAAAATCCTCTTGGGGATGGAACTCTATTGTGTTTTGTTTTGTTTTGAATTCGAGGTTCTCACTCTATTGCCCAGGCTGGAGTGCAGTGGCATGCTCACAGTCACCCCAGCATCAACATGCTGGGCTCTGGCCATCCTTCCGCCTCAGCCTTCCAAGAAGCTGGAACTACAGGCGCGTGCTACCACGCTCGGCTAATTTTTTATGTATTGTAGAGATGCGGTCTTGTCAAGTTGCCTGGGCTGGTCTCGAACCTGTGAGCTCAGGCAATCCACTTGCCTTGGCCTCCCAAAGTGCTGGGATTACAGGGTGACCCACCGAGCCTGGCCTGTATTACTTCTTACAACTGTATGTGAATCCACAATTACATCAAAATAATAAGCTGAATTTAAAAATAAAAAATAAACCCAATAGTAAGCATATTTTAAAAGGGAAAAAAAAACCCAATGTGTGTTTCAGGGTGTGGGGGAGGAGTTGTGAAGGTAAACACCACGTCCACCAGCACGGCTGCGGCTTCTCCCTCTGTACTTTGGGCCCTCTGCTAGGCCCACCAGCAGACAGGTGGTGACGGCTGGGCTGTTGTCAACTCTTTTGTCCTCAGCAGGGTGCGGTGACTCACGCCTGCAATCCTAGCACTTGGGGAGGCCAAGGTGGCAAGACTGCTTGAGCCCAGGAGTTCTAGACCAGCCTAGACAACATAACAAAAACCCTGTCTCTACAAAAGAATAAAATAAAAACGAGCAGGGTGTGGTGGCACAGGCCTGTAGTCCCAGCTCCTTGGGAGGCTGAGGGGGAAGGATCACCTGAGCCTAGGAGATGGAGGCTGCAGTGAGCTGTGATTGTGCCACTGCACTCCAGCCTGAGTGACAAAGTGAGACCCCAGTTCAAAAAACAAAACTGTTTTGTCCACACCTCGTCCTTCCTCTGGGGCTATGACTTGAGAGTGGTCGACAATCCCTTGTTTGACACACCGCTGGATCCTGCCCGCCCAGAATATGTAGCACAGTGCAAGGTGAACCCCAGAATGCCCCAGTATTGTTACACTGCCCAACAGGCTGGGGACCCCTCTTCAGCAGACAGCCCAGTCCCACCTCCTGCAAATCTGTTTTATTGAGCAAAGTGGCACTGGTGACGGGAGAGGGGGACCAGGTACCCAGTCCCCCCGACCTGTCCACTCTCTCTGTCCCTCCATCTCTTAGGGAGTCTACCCTGGGAGGGCCACCATAAGAACAATTGCGGCCGGGCTCGGTGGCTCAGCCTGTAATCCCAGCACTTTGGGAGGCCGAGGTGAGTGGATTGCCTGAGCCCGCGGGTTCGAGACCCGCCCGGGAAACTTGGTGAGACCTCGTCTCTACAATAAATCAAAAACTAGCCGGACGTGGTAGCAGGCGCCTGTAGTTCCAGCTACTCGGAAGGCGGAGGCGGAAGGGTCGCCGGAGCCCAGCAGGTCGAGGCTGCGGTGGCCGGGAGCGGCCCCTGCCCTCCAGTCTGGGCGGCACAGTGAGACTCCAACTCAAAAAAAAGAACAACTGCCACCACGCACGTCTCCCACGCCAGGCACCGTTGCCAGCGGGTGCCCCAAGGACCCTATTACCCAGTTTTGCAAACGAAGACACAAAAGCCCAAGGAAGCTAAGCGACTCCTCGCCCACTCAGCCCCGCGGCTACCAGGGACCCCACGTCTGTCCCACTCAACTCCCGGCAGGAAGTCAGGACCAAGGGCTGCCTCTTCCAAGGCGCGGCTGTGTGGCCCGGGCGGGATCCCTGCCCTCCCTGGGGCGCAGACCCTCGCCGGGGAAGCGGGACCGTCACAGCGCAAGGCAGCCCGGGCCGTCCCGGGGACGCGCAGGCACAGACGCTCGCCGCCGTCCCCGCGTGGGGGCCTCCGTCTCAAGAACGCGGGGCCC